GTATTGTAAATTCGCGTCTCGTAATCTTTGCATTAATCTTTCGCATTTGATTTCGTGTTCTCTTAATGATCGTGCGTAAATGACAATGTCGTCCATATAGACGAATAATTCGTTTCCTTGTAGTCCCGATAGTACATTATCCATAAGTCTTTGGAAAGTAGCAGGTGCGTTTTTTAAACCGAATGGCATGCGCTTGAATTGGTAATGCCCATATGGCGTGGAAAATGCTGTTTTTGAGCGTTTTTAAGTGACATAGAAATTTGATGAAATCCGGAAGCTAAATCAAATATTGAAAAGTATTTGGCTGATTCTAACTGGTCAAGAATGTCTGTTATGTTAGGAAGAGGATAAGCGTCTCCTATAGTTTTTTCGTTTAATCCTCGATAATCTATAACCATACGCCAACGTTTATTGCCTTGTGAATCTGGTTTTTTCGGTACTATCCAGATTGGTGAGTTATACGGCGATGTAGAATACTCGACTAAATTATTTTTAATAATTCGCCGACTTGTTTATCGATTTCTTCTTTATGGACAGGAGAAAACCTGTATTGTTTATTGTGTATAGGAATTTCGTTAATAGTTGGAATGTAGTGTTGAGTGCGTTTATAGTTCCTAAAGGTTCGTTAGGCAAATGGAATCTATCAGAATGCTTAGTAAGAATTGACCTGACATGATCAACTTCTTCAGGATTTAAATGTTCGAGTCTCAAAAGTTTTTCGACGGCGTGTGGTCGATAAGAATTAGTAGAATTGTCGTTGGTCGAGAAAAGCCCTAGGGTTCTCGCACAATCGACGGAATTAGAAATTTCATCTCCCATTACCGGGGTCTCCCGACTCTCGGTAATATACTCTTCATTGCAAGACATTGAATGCCCTAAGGTTTCAATGTATCTAGTAGATTTGTCTCCCATCTCTCTTCGTTTTGGAATCGCACTGAATGCCCTAAGGTTCCAGTGTGATTAGTATTGTCACGTCCGGCCTTATTACTATGTCCGGGTATGTAAATTTTTTCCATCTATAAGGAATAAATCCTAAAACTATCAAACATCATTTGAAAAGCGCGCCAAAGCCGGCCATGACGCTTAACTCCGCCTAGAAACTAAGCGTGGCGCTTCGTAGCGCCTAAGGATCTCCCACCACAGTGAGAGCCCCTACTCCGGAGAGTTCCCTCTCTCCAGCCGCCGCAGGCCCGAGCCGCCGAAACGAAGGACCTCAGAGCAGTCCCGAATTTCGGCAGTTCTCTGCGCGACACCGAACAGTATAGTCGCACTTCTAAATTCTAAGTCCAAATTCTAAATCCTAACTCTAATTCTAAAATTCTAACTCTAAGTATAATATTCTAACTCTAAATTCTAAGTCTAAATCTAAATTCTAATTCTAAGTTTTAGTCTCGAATTTTGTACTACTATACGAATAAATCAGTGTATTATGTGTGAAAACTAGTGTTCAGTATTCTTCGAAACTTCCACTCCCGTGATAAAATACGATAGCGTTTAAATTTGTCATACGGCGTTTGAATTCAGAATAATTCAAACTGTGTTTGGAGCGGACCACCGCTCAACACAGTTAGAATTAACATTCTCAGCATTTGCCAAAATAAGGAATTGATAGTGAGGTCCGCCGCATATCAACCCTCCTTATTTGAGTAATCATTCAGAGGATGCATCAAATTCAATATGCCTAAGACGCGACGCGCGGGAAGGAAGAATCAATTACGAAAACTAAACCGACTCTATGGTCCTCGCACTCCTGTTCGTCAGCGGTCAGCGGCAAGGCGGCACGAGGAGGCTCTTCGGTCTCCCAGAAGCGGCGCACGAGAGCTACTAGGTCGTCCCCGTGGAGCATTGTAGAGACGACACGGGAGCCGCGACGTGACCGGCTCCAACGACGCCCAGCAGCACCTAGCCAAAGCGAGTCAACAGGGCACCGGGCTCGCGTGGTCCTCCTCGGCGAAAGCCCTCCGGCAGAGCGAGGTCCAGATAGACATCGGCGCCAAACAGCAACTCCACAGCATCCCGACGGTGGAACTCCGGGTCTGCAAGCTCGAGACCGTCGAGGTGAGGCCAGGAACGGGCCTCGCCTTCCGAGGCTCCGCCGTACACCGTGAGGCGTGGGAATACAAGCGGCGAGACGACGAGCGCAAAGTGTCCATCGCGAGAGGAAACGGTGGCGGTGATCCGTCCGTGAGTGACGCCCGTCTGGATGCCTCCCACTCCAAAGATGGCCACTGACGATGGGGTCCGGGAGCCGAAGTAGTCGCTGCGCCAAGGATTCCGCTATCAGCGAGGTTTCTGAGCCCGGGTCGATCAGCGCGCGGACCGCATGCCGAGTACCCACGCGGTCGGCCACGAAGACACGGGCAGTTGCCAGAAGCGCCCGGTCCACACTCCCGCGGTGGTCGCCTCGCGACGTGGACCGTCGCCGTCGAAGATGAGGATGCAGTCGCAGATAAGGCCACAGCCGCAAAGGCGTCGTGCAACGTCGTGTGATGCTGGCCTGAGCATGTAGCGCACGTCTTGTGCGACTTACAATCGGCTAGCAGTGACGACCCAGGCAGTTCCAGCACCGCTGGTGAGTGTTGATGGCTTCCCGTTTCTCGCTAACCGTCTTCTTCTTGTACTGCTCACAATAAGCAATAAAGTGATCTTTTCTGCAGAGTGGACAGCTGCGGTTCGGATCAGGCCCCCTGGTACCCACATGGCTGCTGCGAGAGGAGCGGCTGAGCTTCTCCGTTGGCTTGGCAGCGCTACGGTCTTCACTGACTGGAGGACCTCCCAGGTCATCAGTTGTTCCTGGAAGAACTCTCGGAGCTTGTAGGGACGGAGGCTCCGACGACCTCCCGAGGGAGCTCTCCCACTCACGACGAGTTTCAGCGTCCAGTAGCTCGACGACCAGGTGGACGAATAGATCTGTGCAGTCGGAGATCGGGCGCCCGATGCCCTTCAGTGCACCGACTGTCGTGAATACGCCGTGGAATAGTCGGCGTAGTCCATCGGCTGACGGGGCCTTCAATCGCGGCAGCGAAGTGAAGGCTGTCAGGTAGGATCTGACCAGTAAACGTTTATTTTCGAAATACGTAGTCAATAATTCCCACGCGTCCTCCAAGTTTTCTTCAGTAGAAGGCAGGTTGCGAATCAGCTGTTCAGCATCACCCTTTACGCTGGTTTTCAGGTAATGCAGCTGTTCAATCTTTGTCAAGGACGCGTCTCCTAGGACCATGGAGCTGAACAGATCTCGGTAGGCTGGCCAGTCCTCGAACTTGCCGCTAAACTGCGGTAGATTGATCCGCGGTAAGGTTCGGCGGGACGGAGCCGTCTCTCGGACCCGCTCGCCGAGGGCGAGCCCCGCAGGTTCGGTGAACTGCTCCTCTAGTCCGGCGAGTTCGGAGCGCTGCCCATAATACGCCGTCTCAACCTTGCTGAGGAGGTCCTCGGTGGTGTACTTCTCCCGCTTGATCTTCTTCCAGAAGTGGGCGCGGAGCTCTTCATGTTGCTCCGTGAATTTGGCCCATTTATCGTCCAGGACGCGGATTGCAGCCTGGACAGTGTGGGCGTTCAATTTGCTCGCCCCGATTTTCTTCAAGTTCTCCACGCTACGCAGTATGCGTAGGTAGAGCTCATGCTGAGCGTCGATTATTTGATCCATGTCCATTTTCTTTGTCACAGGTCACTGGACACTCACACGGTCACGAAGCACGCACTCACCCCGACGGCGAAGTTCAATAGGTGCCGGGCGCGACAAATTAACGACCTGTCGATTATCCGGCTCGAAGGACCAGCAAATGTGCAATATTCGATGCTACGCGGAGTGATTATAGTTAGTGCGCGGACGCGAGTGTCAAGTTTTGGGCGGCACAGAAAAAAAAGAAAATAAAGAAAGTTCACGGCACACAATATATTTTACAAATAATTATACAGTACAAAGGAAATGCTCTAATGCAAGCGAACTGCAATTAGAAGCGTGCAATGATTGCCGGAAGTGCAATCCAACGACAAAATCGATCTCCCGCGAGAAGTGCGACGAAAATCGAGAAGAGAGAAAAGTAACGCTGTCTGTACGCGCGAACGACTGTACGACGATAGATCCGTTCGACAAGAGAGAGCGTGAACCAACGTGATTGTTTTCTACCGACCTTCGAGAGAGTTCCGAGGTAAAGAACACCGTGTTTGTGTTCCTTCCACATAATGATAGAATCCTCTCGAATGTCGGAGGGCAAAATCACTTGTTGTCGTCGGTTTTATGTTTGTTACGATACGGTTACCTGTCACCGTTCAAACGACAGGTATTGCGAGCGTTAAAGACGCGCGCGGTCTCGCGATATGGCGGGGCGCGTTCGCTCGCGATTGGCGCACGGAGATTTAGTGCGAATCGTCGCGCCAAATTCGAGCGGCTATTTTTCAGCGCAATTAGCTGCGCTTGTTGCAAGGCGCAGAATGCACTCCGAGATGCATTCACGCACACACACACACCCACACACACACACACACTCTCTCTCTCTCTCTTTCTCTCTCTCTCTCTCTCTGTCTCTCCAATCCGCAACAAGAAAACATAAAACTATCAAGCGATATAAAGAGGAGGAGGAGGAATTGAAAAAGAGAAAATATGATATTTCGAAGCCATTGGACGCTTCACTGCCGACAACATCTACACCGATAAGCGTACTACCTGTGATACTCAAAGCACTCGTAGACGAAAATGTTTTCGAAACCACGCGTAACCCGCCCAAAATATCCCTTCGACACTGGTTAAGATCGCCGGAAGGTCGACAAATGATGCGAAAGGATTGGGGGCCATTAGGACAAAAGTACATGGACGCTCTCCTCGGTGCTGATGAGAAGAAAGAAATTGATAATGTATACGGAGTCTACTTCGGCGAAAATAAAATGCGGCTCGGCAGCAAACGATTCGCGATTGACAAAGATGACACTATAATCATAGGCGACACGCGGTACATTAAAACACCCGGATTGTACGAGTTGATCTTCAAGAAAAGACCTGATTACCGGGATGACGATTTGCAAAAATACAAGCACATATTATTGACGACAAACGTGCATAAACGCAATTTTGATGCGCAAGGTCGTGTGAAGGGTAGCAAGGGGGACAAGTACAAATATATAATTGCACCGTTGACGCGGGTGGAGAGCCCAAAATCTAGCATGGGAATGCCTCGCGCTATGACGCTAACCGACAATAAGATTAATTACGTGCACTGGGACGACCCTAACGAGCTAGTGGATCGCCTACGATTGCTCGACGCTTCGCGCCAAGCTGGCAACAACGCGCATGACAACGAGATCCTGTCGATCATCGAGAAACTGCGGGAAGCGGGCATTATTATAAATTAAACGGGGGTCCCGACAATCTATTTAGTTCATCGCGTGACACTTTACAAAGCATTGCAAAAATGTCTATCAATAAATTTGGATTATTCGAGAGGAGAATTGATACAACCGGCGATCATTGGCACACATTAATGAGATGATGTATGCGTAAAAACGCTCTATGTCGCGTTGCTACAGATTATGACGCGAGATCGCGCAAGATTCGTCGTGTAGCGCAACCTGAGGCGGATACCGATGCCGTCAACAAATTGTACTTGGAAGAGTGCTTTAAAACATTGATGGTCCAACAGAAAGAGTTAGATGAGAAGCTGACTGCGTTAGAGAAGGATGTACGAGCGTTGGAGACTGCGATAAAAGAACTTTTGCGTGCACCCAACACTACCTCAGACACAGACATCTAATGAGCGGTTGGCTCAGAAACGTTTATCAAACAGTTGTGAAACGTCTAGAAGGAATTCTCGAGTGGTTGCAAACGAACAGCTACGAAGGATTATCAGCGTGCTACCAAACAACAATGAGTGGCATCAGTGACCGACCCGGAAGCAGCAGTGAACGACCTGGAAACGGTGGTGAACGCAACCGTTACGATCGAGGTTACGAACATGTCAAGCAGGGCTGCGAACGAGGCTACGAACAAGTCCTTAAAGGTTACATACAAGGCTATCAACAACTCAGTAAGGGTTGCGAACAGGTCAGGGACGGTTACGATCGAGTCAAAAGCGGCTACGAACGGGTCAGAAGCGACTGTGAAAAAGGCTGCAAACGAGTCAAAGACGATTTTCGAATGGGTCAAGGACGGAAGTGAACGAACGTGAACGAACCCCGAAAGAACCCCGAAACAACCTCGAAACAACGTGGCACGAACGTGAACGAACCCGAAAGAATCCCGAAACAACGTGAAAAAACGAGAATGAATAGTGAAAATAACAACGAGCAACATAGTTTGGAGAGACGGCAGTTGGTAAACGAGTTGCATGCGTCAGCGAGAAAAAATTTCCCTCGAAGACATGTCATAGTGCGAGGATACGATGATCTGTGGCAAGCCGACATTGTCGAGATGCGTCCGTAGTCTCGTTTTAACAGAGGTTACCACTACATACTCACCGTCATCAATGTGTTGAGCAAGTATGCGTGGGCTGTATTACTCAAGAGTAAAGGAGGAAGCGAGACAGCTGACGCAATCGCCAAGATAATTCGAGATAGCAAGAGATGTCCGAAAAACATGCAAACCGATAACGGGAAGGAATTTTACAACGCCGATGTGCAACGACTTATGCGAAAACATGACATTAATCACTATTCGACATATTCGGTATTGAAGGTGTCGGTCGTCGAGCAATTCAATCGCACGCTAAAGAACGACATGTGGAAGATGTTTACGCTGAATGGTACTTACAAATGGTTCGACATGCTGCCACGCCTTGTATCAGATTACAACGGACGCAAGCATCGAACGATTGGTATGCGACCCGCTGACGTTACCCCCGCGATCGCCGAAAGACTCTTGGCTACCGTGTACAATCGTGTAAAAATGCGGGCCCGGCAAAATTCAAAGTAGGTGATCAGGTACGCGTCAGCAAGTACAAACAACTTTTCGAGAAGGGATACACGCCAAATTGGACAACCGAGGTGTTTAAGATTGTTAAAGTGCAGCATACTAATCCCGTAACATATCTACTCGAAGATTATCGCAAGACATCTATTGCTGGAGCGTTTTACGAGCACGAGCTGCATCGCGCAAATTGTCCGGATGTGTACCTCGTGGAGAAAATACTGCGCAGGAGGGGTGACGAGGTTTACGTGAAATGGCTAGGATTCGACAGTTCGCACAACTCTTGGATACATAAAAACAATGTTATTTAATGTATTTTATTCAATCATTTTTATAACATACTATATATTGTGAGGAAGGTAGATGTTTTAATGAGAGGATTCTCTTTGTTGGGATGCCTGGATTCGCGGGTGTCAGGAAAGCCGCGGGAGAGGCGAACAAAGGGGTCTTGCTCGTGAGATGGTTGTAATAATTATCACACCACGTTTAACTGAACTGATCTTTATTCACGCGCATGGTACTTACAAATACCATGTTCTCGCCGTGTGACTCTATATTCTAACAAAGCTTATGCCATACAAGTTGTTGCGACGTAGTTGAACGTCGCGCGCCCGACCACACTCCTTCGCTGTACTTTAGCTAATGATACCGTCATGGCCGCCGCCTTCTTCCTCGTCGACCACGAGGTTTTGCGCCACTGCGCGCGCATCTCACACCTGCGCGCGCATCTACAGAATGCGCCTATCCGCACGCAGGCATAGTTATACTATGCAAGATATATCTCGTAATATATCTTACAGCTTCGGCCATCCTGGCCTAGGCATTCGTCCCGAATGTTTTATTAAACTATCGGAACGACAGAGAAATAAAGTAATCAAATACAATAGACGCAATTATGCCTGAAACATAATATAATTTTTTTAACCAAAACGATAACGTAGGATAAGCATATCGGAACTTGAAACGAAAAATATTATTTTAATAAATTAAATAAATTTTCAAAATTAAATTAAAACTTATTAAATCACAATGAATAGAATGTTTGTACTTCGATTGCTTATAAAAATTATGCTTCTTAAAGCTATACTTAATATATAGTTGTAAACTTAGTCTAACGCAAGTTTGTTTATGAACTAATATATATATATATATATATATATATATATATAGCAATGTACAAATAATATATACAACGACTAGGTTTCTGGAATCGCTTTTATCCAGGGTTTGATTCGATCTGTGGACAATATTAATCATATGGTTTAGACGAGACATTATATCCCGGTATGTCTTGGACTACATATCTATTTTTATCTAATATCTTCGCAATACGATATGTTCCTTTATATTGAGACTTGAGTTTTTTGTCTTCTCCTGGTTTTACAGTGGAGTCTTTGATCATAACGAGATCGCCAACATTGTATTTAGTCGGTTTTCTATGTCTTTTATCATAGTAGGTTTTATTATATTTTTTAATCATGTTAGTGGCCTCTACTGCTATTTCACGACAGGTCTCTCTGTCTTTCTGAAAATCTAATTCGTTTTTAGCAATTATATCCAGAAAATCCACTAACTCAATGTCAGCGTTATTACGCTGTTCTATACCAAGCAGAACTTTAGAGGGGGAAGCTTTTAAAGACGAGTGAAACGTATTATTCATCACGTATTGCACAGTATTTAGGTGTATATTCCAACACTCGTAATCGTCTATGAGTTTCCTAAGGGATGATTTTAGGAATTGATTAACTCTTTCT